CCCCGGTCTTTTCCTTGTTCAGGCCCCCACCTTCCTGCTGTGATACCACGGAACGTTTATGCACATTCTAGCTGCTTTTGGAGCAGTGGTTGGAGAGATGGTTGAGGCATAGAACACGGAGAAGTTCTGCCATTTGTACGGGAAGAGGCTGTGGGAAAGATGGAGTCGTTTACTGTTATTACAAAGGGTGGGTGCTGGGCTATTAAACTAAGGGGCAGATTCCAAAATTTGGCAATCTTATAATTCAGGGAGTTGAAAGGAGAGCAGGAGAGGCAGTTTTGTGACTGCATTTGAGGCTGCGGTGGCAGAATTATTTGCAGTGCGTCTGTGCTTTCTTTGGCTCGCTGATAGATTGGGGTGGGTGGGTCGCCGTGTTGGTCTGAAGCGACAGAAGAGAGTTTGGGTCCAGCCAGGCATCTTTCAGACCAACAAACTTTGTTGTTTTGGCTGGCCGGTTATTTCACGGCCGGGAGCGCGGAACAGCTGGTGTCAGAAGCCAAGGCCTTTTCTCATTCCTACTTCTGCTTAGGGTGCCCTGAGCCAAGTCGGCCAGCTCTTCCAGCGGCTAGATGAGGCGGGGCTGAAGCCCAACCTGGAGTCTTATGTCGCGGCGCTGGAGTGCATGGGCCGGTCCAACGTCAGCCCAGAAGTCATTGCCAGGTAAGGTGCTTTTCCTCTGTAGTCACCTGCCATCTCTTGGTCCAGCCAGTGAGATGCTTCCCGTTCTGTCTGGCAGGAGGCAAGCTGTTCATAAGAGAAACAATTGGCCCCGGCTGGGCTTATATTCTCCACAAGCGTGAATGGTCACGGGGTTCCCCTGGTCTGATCTGTCTGCCTGAGCCTCACCTACCTCACAGGATGTCTGTTGTTTGGTGTAGTGGTTAAGTGCGTGGACTCTAATCTGGGAGAACCGGGTTTGATTCCCCACTCCTCCACTTGCACCTGGCTGGATGACCTTGGGCAAGCCGTAGTTCTGATAAGAGCTGTTCTTTAAAAAGCTCTCTCAGCCCCACCTACCTCACAGGGTGTCTGTTGTGGGGAGGGGAAGGGGAAGGAGTTTGTAAGCTGCTCTGAGACACCTTTGGGTTGTTTAGGGCGGGGTATAAATCCAATCTCCTCTTCTTCTTCTTGTGGGGAGGGGAAGGGAAAGGTGTTTGTAAGCCGCTCTGAGACTCCGAGTGAAGGGCGGGGTATAAATCCAATCCCTTCTCTTCTTTTTTATTGGATATCCACAAGTTTGATGGGACAGGGAGAAAAGTTCCACCTACTTTTCCCACCCCATGCATAACTGTATACACCTTCGTCCTCTCTTCCCTCAGCTGTCTTTTTTTCAAAACTGAAAAGGCCCAGGTTGTTTAACTTTTCTTCATCGGAAAGGTGCTCCAAACCCCCAGTGATCTTAGTTTCCGTCCTTTGTACTTTCCCCAGCTTTACAGTGTCCTTTTTGAGATAAAACGGCACGCAGGATTCCAAATGAGGCCACGCCAAAGCTTTAAACACGGTCATTACATTATTGGCCATTTAAATTTCAATCCCTTTCCTAATTCCCAGCACGGAATTTGCCTTTTTCGCTGGGCTGCTGCCCACCGACGCAGCTTTTTCAGCAGGCTCTCCGCCTTCATCCCCAAGCCCCCCTTTCCCTCTCACACTCTGCCAGCTCAGGCCCCATCAGCATCGGTTTTAAAAGTCGGCGTTTTTTGCTCCAGTGTGCATTGCCTTGCACTTGGCCCACCTTGAACTTTGTTGCCCGCCTTGTTGCCTGTTCACCCAGTTTGCGGAGATCCTCCCGGAGTTGGGTTGTCGTCTCCCACATGTCAGCCTGACTCGCTTTGTGCTCGTGCGCAGGCCTTTCTTGTGAAGAAAATTTCCACCCCTGGTGGCCTGTAACGCATAAATGTGCGCATGCTTTGTTTCATGTTCAGTCTGCCTGAGCCACTGTCTCGGGCCACTCGGGCCCCCAAAGATTCGGCCTCTTTTTTCCTACTGGGGAGTTGTTGACTAGTTTGGGGGGGGCACACCTTGAGGGCCATGTGAGCCGACATCCTCCTTTTCAGATCTCTCTGGCAGTCCAGTGCTTGGAGAGATCTGGACCTGCCCACTAGATTTTTTGTGGCCTCAGTGTGGCATTCCAGTTTTTTAGGGTTTTGGGGGTGGCTGTTTTTTTCTGAGCTTCCTGCAGGATTTTCTGGTTTGATTCTGTTGGCTGATGTTTATTCCTTGCTTCCTGGGTTCCCCCTCCCCTCCATGTCCTTGAGGTACTGGGGGCTGTCCTTGGAACCTGCAGCTAGTGCAGAAGGCTGCGGCTAGACTGCTTGGTCAGGGCCTGCTACCGGGAGCACGTGACCCCGATACAACAGTAATTATATTGGCTATTGATCCACTCCTGAGCCCAATTCAGAGTGTTGTGTTTGACTTCTATTGGGACCGGGTTATCTGAAGGGTCGTCCTCTCCCCTGTGTTCCTGCCTGGGAAAAGATCCCAGGGAGCAATGCTCCCTCGAAGCTGGGGAGTCTTGTGAGCAAAAATTCTACTTTGTGAGCAACTGGCATGAAAGCTGTGAGTGAGTGATTTGGCTGCTGCATCAATTAGTTTGCTCTGGAGCCATCCTCCCTGAGCGAAGACAAAAATGTGTGAGCCTGGGGCTCAAAAACTGTGAGCGAACTCACACTAACTCAGCTTAGGGAGAGAGAGGCCCTCCTGACTGTCCCGTCAATCAAAGAAGCTCTTTTGGTGAGTGCACAAGAGAGAGAGGAGCCCCACGGTTATGGAACAGCCTCCCCTGGCCCCCCCCCCATATTCTATCTTTCGGAGGCAGTTGAAGATGGTTTTATTTAGAACTGTGTTTGATTAAAGCAGTCCTAAACTGTGATTTTAAAGTTTTGGTTTTATGTCTTCAACTAGTCAGAAGGTCCGTTGTGGGACTGAAGACAAGGAGTGCTAACTTGGTCGTCTGGGCACGGGCCGCCATCTCCATCCCCGCCCCCCCCCGGTGAAGCTGCCCCCCCCATGCGGTCGAGGCCGCGGCAGGGCAAGGCTCCTGGCCTTGCCC